CGATCTCGGCTGCTAGAGAGGTTTCAAGGAGATGCCGCAGCGGGCAAATTGTTGTGGTGACGGATTTGGTTTCTGATGAGTTCCACTTGCATTACGCACTTATGAAAAGAGCGCAACGATGCAGTATTCAGTGGCGTGCTGTAAAGGGGCACACCCTTGCGTGAACTTAACGCAAGGGCTTCGGTGCCCCGACAGACGTACACGAGGCAAACGAGGAAGCGTAGATAAGGGAAAAGTAAAACTGCTATCTTAATATAATTAAGTCTTTGTTACTGTCTCTCTGTTTGACTTAACTTAATTATGTTAATCTAACTGAGTGTATGACGACGTCTCGTCACCACTCATTGCGCGCGTCTTGCGGCGATTGGTGGGTCGATATCATCAAGATATCTACCAATGAGCAGACTCATTGGTCGACCCTTCAATATCACCACCATTGGTGATATTGATAAAAGAATATTCAACATAATATTATTTATTGTCATTATCTTCGAAATGACAATTCCATGTAACAGGCAGCCCCGTTACACGTGCAGTCAACGAAGGCTCAAAGTGTCGACCGTTTCTGGACTACATGTTTCGTCAATGAACGGCCTTAGCTATGCGTGAACATTGGGGGGCGGTGACAGTGCTTCAAGGGGCTAGATTACATGCCTCCCTTTAACTTTTAACTCTTGAGGCTATTGAGAATTCGCTACCACTAGAGGGGTGCCATGAATGTAACGGGGTAGTCCATTACATGATATTGTCATTACGAAGAAAATGACAATAAAGAATATTACGTTGAATATTATATCAACAATATCACAGAGCATGATGATATTGTTGGAGATGACCGAAGGGTCTACTCATTGGCTGATATCGTGATGATTACAACCCGCCAATCGCGGCTAGACGCGCGCAATGGGTGGTGAGTAGACGTCATCATACAAATAGTTACATTAGTATAATTAAGTCAGGACAAACAGAGATACAAGAGTTATATGACTTAATTATATTAATAACAGTTTTACTTTTCTTACGACTAGAGTCTTTCACCTTAGTCGTTCTACCTTCCTCTGTGTAGTTCTACACCTAGCGGGGCACTGACTATCACTTTAGTCAGTGATAATAAACTCCGTACTGGTTGACCATACGTGGTCTTCGGTGCCCCGTTACATTATCCTCCACCGCGACCGGCGCTGTATTCTCGGCTTAGACGATTTCAGACTTCTAGCGCATAACCACCAGGTGTAACAGACAGTCATAAATCTCTCTCTCTACCTACTGCGATGTCACACGGAAAGATCGGTCTGTGCGTGAAGGGGTCGAAATTCTCGACGCAAAGATGAAGTCTCAGGTTTGGTCTCTTTGAGTTCAATTTTATATCAAAACCGTATTTGTTATCAAATTTTCCTTTTATTAGCATTTCAAGAAGTATCAAGGGACTTAGCACTTAACCAAACTGAAAGTATTAGGACCAAAGGCGATATGTAAGATCATTATGGCTTTTAACTAATCCAGCTTGCAGGACTGCGCAGAAGCCGTTTTGGCTGAAGTCGAGCCAATATTCTTCTCGCTAGAAGCGTTTTGCCTTCGAGAAGCGGCACTTTAGGAAGATATCCTGCACAGTAATTTAATTTAAGGCGCTGGAACGCACACGCTCGTACCGAAGTTACGCATATTAGACGTAGGTGCACTTTCGCAGTAGAAATAGGTCGTGAAAGTGAAACATATTGTGTGTTGACTACCCTTCGTTGTTGACACCATTGTATGCAGTTGATGACCACCACTGCAACTTGACGAGGTCAAGTTGCACCTGGCGTACGTCCAGCGTGCTCATCACCGTGTGTCATCCCTGGTCCCATATGACGTCCGTATGTCAATGTCTCTCCCGCTGTCTTCAGGTGTCAGTATGACATGACGATCGTCTTCCTCCGTCGCATATGTTAACTTGTCAGCCAATCAGGTGAGGTTGCCCTATAACTGTAACAGGTCTTGCAGTAACACTCAAGCCAACTTAACCTGTCAGAAACTATTTCTTCTAACAACGCATAAGTCAGGTTCTTTCGTCTAACGTAGGGTCTGTGAACGCCAAGTATAACACCCAACACAGCTCCTTCCATTGAAAAACAGGTACAGTGATCGGAGAGTTCACTAGCTTCGCGACGTCAAATTACTTTACGCGTGGCATTCGATGGTCCTTTTTGAAACGGAAAATGGAAGGGTTTTGGATGTCATAAATCACAGAATATGGAATTTGATCCAATTTATTGGTGAAGTACTTCGCGCTGTTCAGTTTACCATCGAAAAGCATGTGACAAATGGAGTAGACAATAAAAACAATATGATACCGAATAATAAATAAATTAGTGCACCACAAGACGAAAAAATGCGCCACATAGTAGCCAGAAAAAGAAAATAATGCTCCACTGGTGATATATACGACCGAATATACACATGCGAGAGATCACCTGGATAAACATATATATCATTGATAACATTGATGGAAGTGTCGTTCAGAATGGATAGAGAAAGCATTCCTAGCGATTTGGTCGCGTCGAATCGCTCTTCGTATCCGTTGATCAATATTTTATGTATTATAAAAAGTCGTTGATACGCCAGTGCCTGTGCCATAGAGTGCATATACTCTACGTTGTCCGCATCATCAATTACTATCCTCGTGGGCAGAACCACCATGTTTAGATCGTCATAAATGAAGTGCTTGAAGTTGTGCTACGTGTTCGATGTAGGCCGGGAGGGCCGAGCTGCTACGCTTGTGTGCAATATCTCAACCACTCCAGATAGCAATATTGCGTCTATCTTTGCAGCTTCTGTGCTGCAATATCCAGATCGACACCAACATCACTACCGCAATCAGCAACCTCTTTTTTGGGCTACCAAAGTGTTCCATCAGCATTACGTGTTAACGTGTCTATTTAGCAAACATCCGCGTGACCACCTGCAATAGCACCAAAATAAATCCGTCCGTTTTATACTGTCTTGTCACAAGAATGCTGTTTATCTATCCGACGTCTCATGCTGCCTCGGGTCGCACCTAAAGTGTTTTATTCAGCACTGCTTACGTGCCAAATCAACACGTCGATTTTCTCATCTCGTTAACTCACAACCATGCCGCCAAGACGACAGCTACATACGTCTACAATATTAAATTATAATGTACAAGCGAACGAGTTGGAAGCAACGTGACTTTACGATAAACAACACTTTCATATCACGCTTTGAGCATCAATGAACCACTTTCTTCATGTAGACTGTGTGTCGACGGATACAGATGCAACTGTTTCGATCAATGAAGCAAGTCAGGGAATGGAGAAGATATGTGTGGATGTATATGAATGATCCCAAGCATGCAAGTGAGAATTCGCTTAAGTTGTGTACGTCAGTGGGGCATTTATTGGATTATTTGTGCATTATTCTAATTGATTCCATCTCAAAAGGAATTGTTTGTGCTCTCATCGTGTGATGCATTTTTAATTCGTAATTATGTGATGATGTGTTTAATCTCGTAGTGCATTTATTTTGTGACTATCGGTTGACCTGTTTACATTCTCAACAAAGGTATTATTACAATAGGCACGTACTTTTCCGTACCATTTAGCTTGCCTAGTCTAATCCCGACCTATCAATTTAGAAATAGGTCGGGCTGCAATAAAGTAGCTGAATGGCTAGAAAAAATAGGTGCTTGTTGTAAAATGATTTACTTGCGGGTGTGGACAGTCGCAAAATCTCGAAATTGCATCGATATTGCTAACTACGGGACTATATGAGTTTCTATGACTCATTTTCCGTCTTGTCGATCGCATCGCTGCGCCTGTACGAGCTCTAGATGCTTTGGGTCCAGCTACTGCGCTGTCATCTCTCCTATCACCCGCTTTTATATGTGCACATAGAGATGATAAAGAGGCTAACCAATCCTGTGAAGTATTAGCTTGCGCAGCCTCGGTTGCTGAGCAGCATGTACGCAGCCACAGAGCGTTGTCTATCTCATCACCTCTTTACTGAGGTCTACACAAATTTCGCCAAGCCTTACGTTTGGATTCGATTCGGGATATCTTGTTGTAGTGCGTGAAAGATATTGAAAGCTCTCGCCTAACCTTTCGTTGCGTCAAAGTGCCCGAGAAATATAGGTCTCAACAAATAGCTGCATAAAAACCGCCAATCACTTCCACGCACACTGCCACTAGCTGCTATTTTGCGTGCATTGTGCTACTTTTCTAGCTACACACCCGCTAGTCATCGTTGTGCACACTAGTACACACGCACCCTCGTAAATTGGACGTCGTAATGTAGACGAAGAATTTCCGCGCATCAGTCAAAATACGCGTTTATGCCTTTCGGAGAAATGTGTCGAAAAGTTCCTTCCGTTCTGCGCGCCACCATGTCAGATACGTGTAATGCTAGAGCCGTCTTAGGTACAAGCAGGTTAGACACTTTGCACAGTTCGGAAAGTTATGCTCCTGCTGCTGTGCGTCGCACAGATCCGTAGGAGTCATGTGTGTCTAAGTTACACATGCTGAAAAATTCAACTAAAGACTCCGCGTTTCAATATTGCCGCTATCGTGCACATGCCCTTCAAGTGTATCTATTATAGCGAACGATATGCTTTGTCACGAGGTATTAGAGCCACGATGGTTTGACAAGAAAGATCAGGTTTGCAAACAATATGCCCCCTGCTGATAGCCTCGTCATTTATGAGGCTTGCAGATACCTTTTCTTGGCATATCGGGATCTGATTCATGCTCAACGTACCGAACAAAGAAAAAAAAGTCATCACTGTGATCGACCTCTCGACATTTTACATCGGAATCCAGAGATGTGCAAACAGCGCAGTTAGAAATTGCTCTTATTACAGTAAATAATACCAGCACAGTGGTGGGCTGTCCAACTTAATATGTGGTGTGGTAGACCCACTCTCCAGCCATCGTTGACGACGACGACGAGCACCACCACCACTTATCACGTGCTACTGACTGACTGCCTGGAAGCGAGACACGGGAATGGCGGCCATTGCGCACACGGGCACACGTCTCTATGTGCAGAACCTCCCATCCTACGTGGACTCTGCGCGTCTTCGCGAGCACTTTGCCGCCCAGGGAGACGTGACCGACGCCTGTGTGATCCGCACCAAGGACGGCAGCAAGTCTCGACGGTTCGGGTTCGTGGGCTTCAAGAGCGACAAACAGGCGGAGCAGGCGCGCAAGTTTTTCCACCAGAGCTTCTTTGACACGTGCAAGATCAACGTCTGTGTGGCGCTTGCGGTACGGAATACGTGGCCCGCTGTCATGGAAGTAGTTGATCGTCTTTCGGTTGCTCGTCGAGTTTGTGGGAGCTAACAGGTGATGCGTGGTGTGTTGTGGTATGCTCTTTTGCCCCTCTCTGTGTGTACGGATGTTTGTGTGTGTGTATTCGAGTAGAAGGAGTCGGAGGCGATGGATCGACCGTGGAGCAAGTACTCGACGGGGAGTGGTCGACACCAACAGCTCCATTCCGATTCGGGTGTCGTGGCGACTACTTGCACATTGAAAGACCCTTTTTCCGACAAGAAGGAGAAGAAGACTGGAGCAAAAGAGAGCACGAGTGGGGAGTTTATGGAGTTTATGGAGACGATGCAGGCTCGATCGAAGACCAAGTTCTGGGCGAACGACGACGTCCAAGGGCCAGCAGATGAAAGGACGGGATCGAAAGGTGCGAACATTGCTGAGGCGGGAGACAGCGACGATGAGTACGAGGATCTTGAACCAGTGAAACCTGATGACGGCGGAATCGACAACGGTTGCCTCGATGATGACGATGAGAACGAGACCGATACGGGATTGTCGGATATGGACTTTTTGCGGTCCAAGGTGAGCAAAACTATCGACAAGGACGATGCTATTGCAGACAGCGACGAAAAAACGATCGATGCGGGAGGTAAAGCGGGTGGCGATAGAACTTTTGATGGCAGCAAAAGCGCAGCATGTGGTCAAGCAGAATCCGAAGGTGACGACGACGACAAGCCTAGTGCCCGTTTGTTTGTACGGAACTTACCATTTACGGCGGTAGAGGAAGATCTTGAGGCGTTGTGTGCAACGTATGGCCCGATAGAAGAAGTGCATATGCCACTCGATGATACGCGTCGGCGCAAAGGCTACGGCTTTGTTCGTTTTCGTACGACGGTAGACGCCCAAACTGCATGCACAGCTCTGGATGGTCTTGCATTCCAGGGTCGCCGCTTGCACGTGATCTTTGCGCGTTCCAAGCCTGTCAAGCTTGACCCAGAAGTGGCTTTGGCAGACCCGAACTTGACGTACAAGCAACGAAAGGAATTGGAGCGCCAGGTGCAAGCTCAAAAGAAGACGGGCTGGAATGCGTCTTACATTCGCGGGGATGCGACTGTGGGATCGCTGGCCGAGCGCATGGGTGTGAAGCGTGGTGAAATAATGGATAAAGAGCAGAGTAATCTGGCTGTGCGTTTGGCGATTGGCGAAACCATGTTGGTGAAAGAGAACAAAGACTTTTTTGCACGAGAGGGGCTGGACTTGAATGCAATTGAGGGTGCGCTCGTGAAGAAGCCAAGTCAACAGCAGTCCACGAAAATCGAGCGAAGCACAACTGTCATTCTGATAAAAAACCTGCCTCATACCGCCGAGGAAGAAGAACTGGCACAACTTTTCCGAAAACACGGTGAGATCAGTCGCTTCCTTCTGCCACCATCGAAGACGCTGGCAGTTGTCGAGTTTTTGGAGCCCTCGGAAGCGCGAAAAGCCTTTCGTTCGCTAGCGTACAAGAAGTACCAGCATGTGCCACTGTATCTGGAGTGGGCCCCAGTGAAAGTGTTCGATCGCTCTGCTTCTGCGTGTACGAAAAGCTCTGGGTCCGAATCGAAGGGTATCAAAGCCGCTTCAGGAGTCGTGCCGGATGTCGAAGAGGACGGCGATTCTGCTGTGGACGACGCGTGTCATACTATATGCGTGAAGAACTTGAACTTTTCGACGCAGGAAGCCGCTTTGGAAAAGCTTTTCACGCGTTGTGGTAAGTTGCGCAAGGTCACGGTTGCTCGCCGGAAGGACCCGAAGCGCGGTATGCTGTCAATGGGATTCGGCTTTGTGGAGTACGTGGATGCCAAGCACACGGAGCGTGCACTGCAAACGCTGCAAAACACTGTTGTAGATGGCCATGCGCTGAATTTGAAGCTTTCTCAGAAGAAGGCATCTGCTCCGCAGCTTGGTGCTGGAGAAGGTGAGGGCGAAGGGCGGCGATCAAAGATCATTGTCCGCAACGTTGCATTCGAGGCAACGAGCAACGACATTCGCGAGCTCTTTGGGGCGTTTGGGCAGCTCAAACGTGTGCGTATGCCCAAGAAGTTTGACGGCAGACATCGCGGGTTTGCATTTGTGGAGTTCCTCACAGAGCAGGAAGCCCGGACTGCTTATTCGGCTCTTGCCAGCTCGCACTTGTACGGCCGGCATCTTGTTCTCGAGTGGGCGGAGGATGCAGACGATATGGACACTTTGCGAGCGAAGGCCACACGGGACTTGACTGCGATCAACGACAGCGACCGCCGTAAGCGCGTGAAACGGCAGAAAGAGGATGAAGATGACATGGATTTCTGATGGAGAAACGGATGGCGCAGTAGTACGATAATGGACATCTCAAACGTGTCTCGCGTGACACTGGGTTCACAATCAGTCCGACCACTTTGGTGCATTTCTCACGGCACAACCAGTAGCCATAAACGTAGTTCGAATAGTTTACAGACGGCTACTCCGCGGGCGAGCAACACTCGCTTCCTGCTGGATCAGCTCCAGCTTCTTGTGCGTGAACTTGAGTGGCTGATCCGTCTTCGCGCTTGAAAACTGCGACACAGTGTGACCACTTTCCGACACGAGCTTCCACTTTGTTGTTAGCAAACCTTCCACACCGACAGGACCGCGAGCGTGAATACGACCCGTGCTGATGCCGACCTCAGCGCCCAATCCGAAGCGGTAACCATCAGCGAAGCGCGTGCTAGCGTTATGGAAGACGCATGCGCTGTCGATCATCTGCTGGAACTGCTTCGCAGCAGCAACATCTTCCGTCACAATGCACTCAGTGTGGCCACTGCTATGCAAGTTGATGTGCGAAATCGCAGCGTCAACACCGTTGACTACTTCAATGGTCATGTCCTTTGTGCCGTACTCCGTCGAGAGCAAATTCGTTGGACGCGATTTCACTGTGGCGATACCCAACTTGGCGGCGTGAGGCGCAACGTGCAGGTTGATCTCCGCTTCCTCCATCTTTTCCATAATCTCCTTGATCTGTCCACTCGTTACGTGCGCCTCATCAATCAGCAGCGTCTCGAGGGCGTTGCAGGCGGCAGGGTAGTCTGTCTTGGCATCAATAGCAAGACCAATCGCCTTTTTCACGTCGGCCGCACTGTGGATGTACATGTGACAGACGCCCTCGGCGTGGCCAAGGACAGGAATGCGCGTATTCTTCTTGATGTAACTCACCATGGACCCCGAGCCACGCGGGATGCACAAGTCAATCACATCGTCCAGACACAGGAGGTCAGCGATTTCCTCGCGAGAAGTAACAAGTCCGACAACGTCTTTCGTCACCTGGCCGCGCGTGGTCTCCGCCACGGCATTCACAATGATCCGGTGCAAGACAGCGTTGCTGTGAAGAGCTTCTTTTCCACCTTTGAGCAGCAGCCCGTTGCCACTGCGCAGTGCCAGCGCAGCAATCTGCGGTAGCGAGTCGGGTCGGCTCTCGAAAATGACCAGCAGCACGCCGATCGAAGCGGTTTCCTGATGCAAGACAAGTCCCGACGCGAGCTCCGTGCGGTTCAGCATCCGGCCAATGGGTTCCTCTGCGTCCGCAATGCTGCGGATGCCGTCCGCCAAGACCTTGAGCTTCTCGTCCGAGAGCTTCAGCCGCGCAACGAGCGCCTCGTCCGTCGCTGCTTTCTGCGCGGCCACGAGGTCTTTCCGGTTCGCCTGCAAGATCGCACTCGTCTCGTGCTCCAAGTCGTGCGCAATGCGGCGCAAGATGTCCGCGCGCGCGGCCGACGTCAGCGCCTGGAGCTGGCGACCACCGGCGCGCGCGGCAGTGGCCATTTCTTCGGCCGACATGCACTCGGGCGACGCGCGGCCGGGGTTCGCGACAAACAGCGTGCCGAGGCTCGCGCCCTTCATGATGGACCCCACGACGCCGTAGCGGAAGCCGCTGGCGATCACGACCGCGTTCACGCCCTGGGCAATGGCTTTTTGTGCCGCGTGGATCTTGGCGCCCATGCCGCCGCGGCCGACGCTCGACTTGTCGCCGATGCACACGGCCGCGTGCTCGGGCCGGAAGACCGACACGACGCGCGCGCCGGGCTGCGTGGGTGGCTTGGTGAACAGCCCGTCCACGTCCGTGAGCAGCAGGAGCAGGTCGGCGTCGATCTCGCCGCCCACGAGCGCCGCGAGCGAGTCGTTGTCCGTGAAGACCGTGCCATCGGGCGAGGCGCTTACGGCGTCGTTCTCGTTCACGATGGGCACGACGTCGAGCTCGAGCAGGTTGAGCATCGTGTCGCGCATGTTCGCGCGGTTCTGCGCCGTCTTGAAGTCCGACGCCGTGACGAGCACCTGCGAGCACGCGACATCGTAGAGCGAGAAGAGCGTCTCGTAGAGCGACATGAGGCCGATCTGGCCGGCGGCCGCCATCGCGCCCTGTTTCTTCTCGAGCGCGAGCATCTGCTGGTTGCCCTGCACGTGCGTGCGCAGCGAGGCCGAGAGCAGAATCTGCTTGTTCAGGCGCTTGCGGCCAATGCCGACCGCGCCGCTCGTGACGAGCAGCACCTCTTTGCCCTCGCGCTTGAGCGTGCAGACCTGCTCGACGATCGACGCGATGCGGCCGAGCGCGGGCTCGCCCAGCGTCGACACGACGCTCGTGCCCATCTTGACGACGATGCGCGTCGCGTGCTGGAGGTCGCGCCGCGTGAGCGACCGCTCGCTCGCGGGGCTGCCGAACGTGTGCGAGTGCGTCAGCGTTTCCTTTCGCATGACGAGGAGAGAGAGAGGAGCGGTACGTGTGTGGGGGGGGGAGAGGGACGGGATCACGCGGAGTTGCCGAGTGCGTCCGAGTGGGCAAATTGAGGAGTAAGAGCCGACTGAGTGACGTTGTTGCTGCGGAGTTGTGTAGCCATTTGGAGCGACCGGATCGTTGATCGGTAATGCATAGACAAACGAAGAGAGAGAGAGAGAGAGCCAGAGACGACCCGAGCTGACATGGACTTGACTTGGGGGGTGGGACAGAGTGGACGTGCGATCTCGATGGCGATTGGATGCAGGCTGTGGGTCAGCGCAGGAGGCGGCCACGAGGTCGGGACGACTGGCTGCGTCACGTGGGGGTCCTGCGCATCAGGTGTGTCTGTCGAGGATACGCTTCAGCAATTGTCAGCCAGTACCACTGTCCGACTGTGTTGACCTCGTCCCTCGTCTCTCCCTCTCTCGAACCAGTCGAAGATTGAGCGTTAATTTTCTGGTTGTCCACGGCCGTAATGGAGTTGCTTCGGCGCGTGTGACCGACTGACTATTTGAACTTGCGCTGCGTCAGCATGCGCATAGTCGTCTCGAGTAGAGCCAATCGGTACGAGATGGCATTGTGCAATGCAACCGTCTGGTCGATGCGCGCAAGTAAACACAAAGTGACTTCGTTTCGAGCTGTAAGACGAGAGAAATGAGAGGACATAGAGACTATTGGCGACGTGCATGTCTTACGCGGGTACCGTGGTGGCGTTTGCTCTATATGATGAGTGGACACGTCAAGGGGAGGAACTCTGAGTTTATTAGCGCTGAAAGCGAACACGTAGCTCGTCTTGGCGATTTACTACGCCCACCTTCGTGTCAACACAACGTTGTCCCTCGCGGCAAGGGCAACAGGACCTGGCCCACATGCTGTGCAGTATGCCATTTTGCATGAGGTTGGTCCGTAGATGTACAAAAAATGCGCTGGACATCAGCAACAAGAGCACAGGACACAGTGACACCGATAACACGTACCGCAGAAGGTAGATAACTTCGTGGACTCGTCGCTTGCATATGACAGAGAAAAACGATAAGGCTTGACATCGATCCTCTTTGTAAACTCATCGACGCGTATATGTACAAGCAGGAAATGAAGGTCTGCGCTCGACAGCGCTTCAATACGAGGTATCTAGGCCGTCTTCAGATGACCTTTGCTAAGCTCTGCCGTACTGTCGGATCATACGAATCATGACGTGGTAGGAATGTGGTATAGGGATCATCTTTTACCACTATTCCGACAGCAATATATCTTTCCTGTGCAATGCGAGATGCAATCCACTTCATTAGTCAACCTGCCGTACGACTTGTTGCTATCTAGAATGCCCATCTACTTCCTGGCAATTGACTGCTTACTGGACCTGGACCACTTGAGACAACCATGTTCTCGTGGTCTTGCTTACAAAACAGATTTGTGTCTGTATCGTGTTGTTGATAGAACTCGTTTGACCCCCACAATCCGTGCAGGAGAAACGTCAGCGAAAGTGCTGAAAGAAAAGGTCGTGCTCGATTACTCTCCTCCGCTGCTTTGTGATCTGCCTCGTCGTCACGATGACTGAGTTTATACCCTCGACTTACGTCAGCTACTTGGCTTGATCCAGTGCGGATGATGGGCAACTGGGGATGGAGACTAACGATTCGGTCAATGCAAGTCTGACACAGTATGCAGCAGCATTCTTGAGCTATTGGCCTGTCCCAGGAACAGTAAAGTACACCTCACAAACATGACATGTAAGTAAGGAAACTCAAAAGACGCGATCAAGCATCTTCCGTCGAGACAAACTTTGTTGTTACTCGATGAAAGGGCTGACCAGACATACAGAAGGCGACAGGCTCAAAGTCCTGCAAGATATTAGGCGTCCATTGTGTGCATCGTGCGTGGCAAGTGTGGCCCAGGTACCCGAAGCTACGCGGCGTATGCATAGTCGTCGAGTGGCAAGATAAAGCGTGTCATAGTCGTACTTCCGAGCTCTATCTTCTTCCAAACACGTAGCATTTACGCACCTGCTAGTGCGTTCTAATGTTGGAATGTACTCACCAAACCACTATCAACGGCTCGGTCATGGCGACAAGAAGAAACTACGCACACCACAGTTGGCTACGCAGGACTTTTCATACCCGGCTGTCGCTTATCAGCAAACGCTTTTGGCGACGAGCTAGCATAATGAACCATCAGTAATGTGGTCGTCACAAAAGAGGCTCATCGGCAAGCAAAGGACCTGACTCCACTGAAGGCGACCTTTCTTGATTCTCGAATAAACAGCCGATCTGATTATAGCAATGCAGCCTTTTGCTGTCGATCATCCGAGTTTATGCGTTGTATTTATCCAGCGTTTCCTTCACCATAGCAGCGACTCCTGCTCCTCCTCCTCCCATCAATCGATGTGCCCTGTTCGTGTGACGCCAAGTGAAGGCATTCAAGCTGTGCATTATCAGCCAAGATAAGATAAGCTTGGCTGGTGCATGCCCGAGCAAACGTTTTATGTCATTCGTTGGCGCGACTAGTTGCTTTGCATCAGACGCCTTGCGTCAATGCTAGATCTAGAAACGCTGTCTAAAGTTGCCGAAGCATTAACGAAAGATGGCGTTGACGCGTTTGCAGCATTCTACACGTCGTTATAGCCTGCTTCGCTGCAGCATAGTCCACAATCTTTTACAATGCAGTTGCGCAGAATCGCGTCTCATGGGTGACCGGAATGGGGACCTGGACCGGAATGGGGACCTGAGAGAGGGTAGCTTGCAAGCATCGCTAGTGGTAATCTGTGACACAGAAATCGCGACATATGCGCATAAGCACGTTTTTTTCACAGCATCGTCTCGCGGCTGCGCAAATACCGATATGATCACGACGCACTGCATGCATGTGAACTACTTTGCCCTTCGTTGAAAGACCCATCGACAGCTCGGAGTCGGGTGGGCGGCCGAGGATGCTTGATGCCAGCGTTTTGAACACGTGTCAATACGAGAATACGCAGTCGCTGGTGCATCACACTTCGTAACGCTGTGTCCACTCAGCGACAGATCATGCGGATTTGATAAGGAAGGACCACCACAAAGATGTGACATCGGTTGCCATTGCTACGACATGCACGAATATGTCTGTACGTGCACTTTTGTAGACTTCAGATGAGTCCATGGTCGCACGTCACCGGATGCATAGAGTGCAGCCAAGAAGGAAACATGAAAACAGTACCGAATGGCGGACACGAATTGACGAAGGACGTGAGCCCGTATGCGCCGTACAGTAACTTATCTGGGGATCAAGAAATGACGTTGTGTTATGCCCATTCTTTTAGAACGGTTCATACTTTCCTGGTACAGACCACTCGATTTCTGTGCTTGTCATGAAATGGAAGTAATTTATCTGTCATGTCAATGTATTGACAAAGACAGATTTCGAATGAAGCCCGTATCGACCCAGTGTAGGCTTTCATATGACAAATGCTAGGGTCAATTGATGTCGCTGTAGCGTTGTGCGCACCGTTTCCAATACGAGCATCTCATTGACAGAAATGACTAAACATGACCATCCAGAATCTGCTACACATCTATGACAAGAAGCACTGCTAGATTAGTCACATTGTTTCGTGACTGTTGTTCGTTCTGACGAGCGTCACATGTATCTAGTACACGTACTCACAAAGTTTACCTGGTATAATCAATGCTCCGACGTCGGTGACGGTTTCGTTGATTGGAACGCACAGTGTCATCATTGACTCCAATGTCTGCTAATTGCGTAGGCCCTTAACTAGTTTGTGCCAAATTCACGCAAGAGATAAAGAAGAGTCACACCGAGCAGAGTCGTCGAACACGTATGGCTTTTCGTAAGCGACAAGCTTTCATCGAGACAGTGCACTATTGCAGATATAGAGGTCAGTTGATTTCACCAGTGCCATTGGTATCGGCGATCTTTGACAATATAATGAGTTGCAGAGTAAATTTGACCTCTGAAGATATCGCTTGCATGCCGAATCAGTCAAAGAGCAGCCGTTACTGACAACGAAGCGATTGACACATTCATCAGCGGCAAGCTGCTTCATTCATACTACATAAAAGGTTCGAGCTCTAAGATGTGGGCAAGGTTGTGCTCGTCACGTCTCCGTAGCCATCGTACATCTCTAAGCCATGCTGTACGAGCAACATGCGCTGTGCTTGTAATCATACCGGTGAGCAAGAATCGACGGATACCAATATGCAATCTCGCGGCGCATGAGTCTCGCGGAGTGGAAGCCTCGCGCGATTGTTGTCCACTCCGAGGTCTCAAACGTGGTGTGCTTTGTCGCAAGAGCTCAGGTAAGTGTCTTTGCCTGACCACGAGCTCCGACCCTCTGTGTGAGGTCCAAGAAATTGTGCTTCTCAGATCGGTTGCAGCAGCTCTGACGTTGCGATACACTCATGTGTAGGGTATAGCCGTTGTAGATAGTGTTCATTAGTATATGAGCCACGCGCTGGGTGCTGCACTCTTCGTATTGTGAGGATCAGCCGTCTGCCTTTCGACCATTCGCGCAATGACCAAGTTTAGATCAAAACCTCGAAGGTAGATGGCGTTGGAACGATAGCGCTTCATTCGCCGTGACAGAAGCAGCGAGCCCCAAGATCCATCAGATATCGATCGCATAATGCTGAGGTGCACGTCAGGTACTTTCAGCTGTACCTGCGAACAATGATACAGTATAAGTAGGGCGTCTAGTACTATTGTCGAGAGCGCTTTCCTTTGACTGCGCTGAAGGGTGTGAAGCTTGTCAACACAATGCTGTAGCCAGCCCCGCAAACATTTAGGTCTACGAGATGCAGTGAGGTGGTGCGACTCACGTTTGTAATACCAGTGTCGGTTCTGTCGAAGCAGGCGGTCATCTATCTGACAGAAAAAAAACAGCGGTCGGCGTTGTATGCACACAGCGCAATGTTCGATTCCACTCCAACAACGAAACCGATCGTGCAAATACGGTCGTACAATATCACATCGCTGACGTCGACGTTTCTGTGCAAAGCCGAACGTGCACATCCATTGGTCGAGCTCTCCTGTTCCGTCCCGACGTTGCCATCGCGTGCAAATCCCCATATGCGAAGTTTCGTCGCACCAGACCTCGGCCCTCATAATCGCCCACCACCCACTTGGCCAGTCACTCTCGCTCGCAAGCCATCAGTTCTCCTTTTTGTCTCGGGTCAAGCAGTTAACAATGCCTCGTGGTCCACGTAAACATCTGAAGCGCCTAAGCGCGCCCAAGCACTGGATGCTCGGCAAGCTCGATGGCATTTGGGCGCCGCGTCCGTCGTCGGGGCCGCACAAGCTCCGCGAGTGCATGCCGCTCATCATTATCCTGCGCAACCGACTCAAGTACGCCCTGACCAAGCAGGAGGTGACGATGATTTGCATGCAAAAGAGCGTCAAAGTGGACGGCAAAGTGCGCGTGGACCCGGACTTCCCCGCTGGCTTTATGGACGTTGTCGAGCTGCCCAAGACGAACGACCAGTTCCGTCTGCTGTACGACACGAAGGGCCGGTTCGTGCTGCACCGCGTGTCGGACGAGGAGAAGAAGTTCAAGCTTGCCAAGGTCATTCGCCAGGAGTACACGAAGAAGGCGATCCCGTACATTGCAACGAATGACGGCCGCACGATCCGGTACCCGGACCCGGTCATCAAGGTCGGTGACACGGTCAAGATTGATTTGGAGACGGGCAAGATTGCCGACCACATTAAGTTTGAAGTGGGCAACTTGGTGACGATCACCCGTGGACGAAACACGGGCCGTGTTGGCATTTTGCACCACATTGAGAGGTAGGGACACACCTTCTGGACTCATTGCGAGCTGGGTGTGGTGGTAGCCGCTGGTTACATCATGTTGTACATGTGTGTTCCTGACGAGAGAAGGAGTGGCACTCCTTTTTAGCTAGTGACTTGTTTATTTAGTTGCTAACTTGTAGGTGTTCTTGTTGCCGTTGCTCGTTAGGCACCAGGGTTCGTTCAACATCGCGCACGTGAAGGACTCGGCTGGCAATGACTTTGCCACTCGTCTTGGCAATGTGTTTGCCGTCGGCAAGGAGTCCCGTCCGTGGGTGTCTCTGCCGAGGGGCAAGGGAATCAAGCTCAACATTCTGGAGGAGCGTGAGCTGAAGGAAAAGCGTGCTAACAACTAGAGTAGTATCTAGTTGGCATTGTAGGAGCTAGTAGTTGTGGCCTGAAAGGCTGCAGTGACTCTACAAATGTAGTCACGCGCCGGCAGGCCATTTCGTTTGATAGCTGCGGATCAAGTAGTACAAGGAGAACTTTGTAACGAGCAGTGAGAAATGGAAGAGATATCACATTTTGCTCACTCATGACGAACCCTTCGCAGTATATTTTTGGTGTCCACTCACTGAACGGGTCAGACTCGCCGCTGCTGAGCACGTACTATGTTCTGCAATTCGAAAACTAAAGCTCCTTATTTGTGTATGGTCGGGACTGGGACTGGGACTGTAAACGTTTGCAGATAGTGGGAGATATCATTGATGTAGAGTAGTTTCGTATCCCTACTTTTCTTATTCAACCAGCCCTTATCTCTTAATCGAATCAAAATGATTATTTGTAGATAGTGGCTGCTGATTCGTCGCGACAGCTGCAGGTGTGTAGGTAATCGATACAACAAAGAAATCGTGGAACGGTGATGTAGATTTTAACGATGTTCTCCAACCAGATCAGTGCGTTGACAGATTTCAGCGAGTAGAAACCCAAACAGATTGAAGTCCCGTCGGCTTTTCGCAGTTGGTCGGCCAGATCGAGACGAATTCTTTTCACGTAAGAAGGAAGACCTGTCGTTGATCGAGCATACACCAGGACGACGGATAAATGCGCAAGACAGATAAGCATGCGATAGCTCGGAGAAGTTCATCGCAATCGTTGTGACAATGGCCTTTCCTTCCAAAATGCAATTACTTCGCTCATGGCGACATAAGTCGCAAACGAGTTCATATCAAAACGTGTAAGTATACATCAAACTCTCCCACACCGAAGTGGGTAGGCTTTCTAAATCAGAGCAGTCAAGCACTTTCAATTTCTCGAGTAAACGACAAGTTCTGCAATGACCCAATCGTACTGTGACAAAAACACAGTGAGGTCAAGCGGATCTGTAAAATCCATGGGTGGTGCAACGTCTATCCTCGAGGAACCACAAGATCTACCATTTGACGCTTTCAGCAAGCGCAGGATAGAGAGGGATCAATAAGATATGTATAGCTGTGTAGACACCACGATTAGAGTACAGCAGCTGCGTTTCAACAGCAGCATTGCATATAATCCAAAGAATAACGCTGCAAATTGGCAGCACGATGCGTATAAAGCTCTAGCTCAGTCAAGCCTGGGCATAACCCACGGTATCTATTGCTTTCTACATAAAAAGTATTAAAGATCAGTTTGTCGATGACATATGTAACGGGGTGAGCCCGCTCCATAAAATTGTTACGAATCTATCAATTATTGAATAGTATTCATTTAGATAATATTCAATCGACATTACCCAAGAGAGGTAATTTTGGCGGAATATTACCCCCGAGGGTGATATTCTTGGGTGCTCCACCTCTTGGTTGATGTAGACGCTACATCAACCAAATTAACTACCAACCGCTGCTGGGCGCGCGCGATGGGTGGCGAGCGAGAAACCCACAGAAAAGAATGTAATTTAATATGGTTAGATTACGACAAAGATGTCTTATTAGGAATTGAACTATATTAAATATAGGTCTACTTTTCCCTTAAACAGAGCTCCCCCTAACTATGTTTATTTCCTCGCGCTTCCAACACGAGGTCTTACCAGTCATCTGAAAAGAGAGTGCCCCGTTACCACATAAACCATGCAGATGTATGACTGTGTGACTCAAAACGACTGGTTGAGTTCTGTATTTTAGATCATCATAATTCGCATATCAGGAATAAACGAGGTGACCATGTTACATGTCATTAGCATAATTCTTAGGCCACGACCAGGGGCACACCTCACTTTAGCTAGGGGCACACCCACCCGGTTAAAATGATATAAACGGCTGCATATTTTGTAGCGCAAAATAATATTCAATACACGTAGTCACTTACTACCTCTTCCTATCTCCCAACCTTATACGGCAGATCCACTCTTGCGCGAGATTCTATTTAACCCATCGTGGCCAGGGCGGTATCCAAACGAGCAATGGCTACTGGATTCTTAACTGTCTTGAACAAGGTATCAAATCCGATGGTACGATGCCGAGTGACCTGACCATCCACAGTGGCATCAACTCGTTTTTTCGACGTTTTTTACTGAGACAGGCACGGGCAAACACATACGGCTTGCAGTATGTGTAGAATTTGAGGCTACCGTCTGTGATGAGGTACGTGCCGGTACATACCGTTAAATGTCCTAGTTCGGGCAGATCATTTCGGGTAAGAAGATGCAAAAACAATTACACACGAAGTGTTTCATCAACATGCTGAAATGCCGTCGCTTCCTTTCACCGTCACTGAGTTTATGACTGTTCGATAGACCTAGACACGATCGAACTTGTAGTAAATTAGCTGCAGACTTCGCTTCGTTTTGATTTGATGTGACGACGAGTTGGCATACCCTTGATAGCCGCAAAGCCGTTTGAGGTTGTTTCCATTTCGTTCCTGGAAAGAAAGATGGTTTCATTGAGAGAGGCAGGTGGGGGTTGAAGCTATTCCAGCGACGGTTGTCCCTCTCTCGAGATTTCGTACGCCATTTTGGGAGTTCAGCTGCTGTTTGTTTTATTATTCGGTGTTTTCAGTCGTATTGTATGAGTATGAGGGGACATAGACACAATTACGCGGTAAAGACAGGTGTTTACGACTGGTTCTTTCTCTTCTGCAGTAGATGAATTTCACGTCCTTAACCACCAGATCCCTAGGCCAAACACTATCAGCAGCTCGGTTAAGTGCTTTTACATACAATTGTACTGTGCCGTACACACACATTAGTCTGCACTACAAAATGTGAAGTCCTTGTTATCATTTTAGGCAGGAGGGTTACCCGTAGCAAAAATGGGGTGTGCCCCTAGTCGTAAACGAATTCTTACCACGCAATATTCATCTTGTTTGGTAATGTTTTCCAATGTTACTCTTGCGGGTCAATATTGCGATAAATTACCGCCAGAGTTATTATTTTGACACCCCTTCGCTCATTGTATAATACAGATCATACAATCAATCAAAGATCCACTCATCGCTGCTAGACGCGTACAATAAATATTCAACGGGGTATCCCGTTACATGAAATTACCATCGTGCGAGATGGTAGTAAATATTATTATGCTAAATATCTTGATCAATATCACTTATTACATTCATATTGTTGACCCAAAGGTCTACTCATCTATTGATTATATCAACCCACCAATCGCCGCTAGACGCGTGCAAAAGGTGGTGAGTAGAAGTCATCAAAAGTTTAGTTATATAAATATAATTAAGTCAGGTCATAACAGAGAACAAGAGATATTGGATTTAAACACATCAAATAAAGTTTAATTTTTTCTACAACTAGTCTTGCCCTAGTTGTTTACCCTTCCTCTGTATTGTGTCTATACTTAGCAGGGCACTGATCTTCACGGTTTTCAGGAGAGTTGACTCCGTACTGGTGTTCTAGTAAAGTTCTATAAGTGCTCCGTTATAAGATAGTAGATAGAAATCTGCTTTGACATTCAGGGTTTAATACAGTAAAAGTATGATGAAGAAATTTCGTCACATAAGTGGAAATGTATATTAAAACTTACATTTTTAAATAGTTATCCTTCGAGGTAATTTCTTTCTCCGATTCTTTACTTTCTGCAAGTACTATGGAGGGTTTGGGGGCGTAATCCATATAATGTATCGGCACAAGGATATACCAGTTATCAGGTAATAAGTCTGCCCCATTAATCCGGGTAGCACTTCGTGGTACGTTCAACGACCAAGATAATCTCAACTCATTTACGTAGAAAAAAACAAACGATTTTACTCCAAGAGTGGGGGCCACCCACCCTCGAGTGACATCAAATGTTTTGCTTTAAAAGAATGAATTGTTCCGCTAAAAAGACCGTCGTTAGTGCCCTGTTAGAGTCTCTTGACAATGACCAACAGCAAGCCGTCGTCTCCAAGTCAAGTCAAACTGAAACTGCTTACGGAAGGAAAAATGCAGCCTTACTTACAATAAGGTTTCTCACTCGATAGAGCAGTTTAGAACACAGGGCGGTCAACAGATAGAGATGTGGAGAAGGTAGCAATTTTATGGTGCTCTGGGCGGATCGACGCACAGGCATTGTAGCATGGCTGATACAGCGCCTAATTAGTGGAAGGCTTTCTTCTCAGCAAGAAAGTTTTTTCTTTGGACGATCCGATTATACGAGTCAACCAGCCGGCTTTAAGATCTAGGTTCTTGTTTGAAGGAAACTGACGATTCAGCGAATCAACTGCACACTGCGATGAGGAGTCTATGTCTTTGCAAGTCGACTCTGATTAGGACCTAATCTCCTTAGGAAGGCACTTGTCTCTAATACAATTTAGAAGGGAAACTAAACTTTATTTTATTTTATTTCGAAGAATACCTTCGAACAAACTTGCCTTATCTAGACAGTAATGATCTAAATAGTATCTCTTAAGGTCAAGAAAATGGTGGCTGACATACGTCAGCCCCTAACAACTGTCAAGGCGTTTCAATATCATTTTTAATAGAATCTCATCCCTAGTGCAAACTACATATGTTATGTTGGTTACCAACCGACGTGTCTGCCTCGTTACACGAGTCGTACTGAAATCATAAAGATCAAAACACCTTGCTACAGAGAAAAGTCGAGGAAGACGCCATGTTGAAATGCTTCGTCAGGTTGGACGACGCCATTTGGGCTCTTTGCATCGTCGACGATGAGATGCAAGTCGCATCCTCCCTATCCAACTTAACTGGGAAAGCCAAGGCTTGAGAAAAAGGGCTCAAGATTTACGACCACATGCATTTGTGTCGTTCGATATATTCAAGAACCGACTCAGACATACATTTGAGCCGCCACGAGCCGGCTGTTGAGTTCGTGCTAAATTTCTATGATCCCGATATATTAAACTTAATGTGAGCGCTTATGCGCAGCACATTCGATACATTTCGAGTTGCATTTCTGCCAATCCGCCAGATGAACACACGGAAATT